CCACCAACATACATACAAAAGGTATTTATTTCCTCCACTGTTTAAAACAGGGCTGAGGGGGCTGGTGAGATGGCTCAGTGGTCTAAAGCACCTACTTAGAACAAGCATAGCAAAGCACAGGGACCGCGGTTCAATCCCCCAGCACCACATGCCAGCCAGCCCCGCCCCCTGGTGGGCTGAGCTGGCCACACACACACACACACACACACACACACACATATATAAATAAATAAATAAATAAAATTTAAAAACAAAACAAAACAGGGCTGAGGTTCACAGAGCCTTACAAAGTGAAAATACTGAGCTTTAGCTATCTCTACACTGCTACTTAATTTTTTCTGAAATCCTATTTTGAATTCCTGTTCAACAATCATATTATGTTTTTACATGTTTCTCAAAATGGGTTCTTTGTGTTTTTGTCTTTTTGAGACAGGATAAGGCTATGCAGTTTAGGCTGGCCTTGAGCTCACTTTGTAGCCCAGGCAGGTTCTGAATTTGTAACAATCTTCCTTCCTGAGGCTCCTGAGTGCTGGGATTACAGATGTGCCGCATCACAGGGGCCTATGTTTTTCCAAATGTTGCACCTGACTATTTTGCTGAAACTGCCGTTTCCTTATTAAGTCTTTCCACAAAAAAAAAAAAAAAAAAAGTCTTTTCTTGGGGCTGGAGAGAGGGCTCAATTTCTAGAACAAGCACTTGCCTGGCAAGCGCAAGGGCCTGAGTTAAATCCCTGGTTCTGCCAAAAAAAAGTCCTTTCTCAGTTCCAGGGTCACTACTGTGGTTCTTTCTAGTCTTCTGTCTTTCTCACACTGTACTACTCTCCACTTAGTATTTAAATGTTTCCTCCAGCATTTTATTTTAGCTAAGCTTTCTTCTTTCAAGTTTATGTACCCTACCTTGGTGGCTACATGGACCCTGAAGGCTTCAGCTCCATTTATGCCAGATCTGTACACATCTCTTGGACATGTAGTCATAAAATTTTAAATTTTACACAAGGTCCAATAAAATATCATGAGTCTTTTCTCTCCATTTCCACTCTCATTTTGTTAGCTGAGGCTCTAATCACTTCTCACTGACACGTGTCATCAACATCTTTACAAATCATTGCCACCAATCTGTACCCTAACACTGAACTTTCTAAAATTGACCAGGCTAATTCCTTGTCAAAAATTATTTAACAGGTCTCTAAAATTTACATGACAACATTCAAATTGGCTTACACAGTTAATTCCTGCCAATATCTCTAACTCCATTTCCTTTTTTTTTTTTTTTTTTCAGTACTGGGGATTGAACTCAGGACCCTGTGCTTGAAAGACAAGCGCTTATTCTACTGAGCTATCTCCCCGGCACCCCTCTAACTCCATTTCCATTACTTTCATTGTTCAGCTCCAGACAAATGGTACAGTTGGGAACCAGTCATACCCCTTCCATACCTCAATATATGATAAAAATTTAATCAGAGTACTGGAAATCGCCCTTAGAAGCTGCTTTAGATACAAGCTGTCAGTGTTCATACAAAATTTTCTACATAAATCTCCTCCATATCAATCATACTCTTATAGTTCTCCATTTTGTTAACAGCATTCCAAAGAAAGAGCACTTACTATTCCTTATACCAAGCAGACAGAAAACATTCAACAGTTTTGATTTTAAAGAGAACTGAGAAATTTTATTTTAATAAAATTCTAATGAATGAATCTGCTCCTTTCACTAGGACAATCAGTCGACAAATCCTTTCCTGATGTTGAAATGGCAATGAAAACTTTTTCAAATTTTCTAATAAACCTACAGTGACCAAAAATCCTTATCATGTCCCTTTCTACCAATGAATCAAAAACTGATTCTAAAGATAGGGTGGTACACCCTATCTCAAAACACCAAAGACGATTGCCCATCTCAAAACACCAAAGAATTTTTTAATTAAAAAAAAAAAACAAAAAACTGATTCTGAAGCCCTATGTTCTACCTCTAGCATTCTTGACTCTACAAAATCTGACTTTGCAGCAAAATATCAATCTGTTAAGACAGTCTTGTCCTTCTTAAAAAAGAACAGGTTAATTTACAAGAAAAGCTGTATTACCCAAACATGATTCCAAAAATAATAATAATTCTAGCCAGGCATGATGACACATGCCTATAATCCCAGGACTAAGAAGGTTGAGGCAAGAGAATTATTGCAAGTTCGAGGCCAGCCTGGGCTACAAAGTGAGTTGAAAGCCAGCCTGAACTGAAAGAGAGACCAAAAAAAAAAAAAAAAAAAAATCCATTTTCCCACTGAACTTCTGCCAAGCAATACATACTGTTGTTCCACTATTACCAGCTCTCTTCCAAATAAAGCATCTTGTCCCTCTGCCTATACTTTCACTATTCAGCCAGTTATGAAGCCATTATAAGAGAGAATGAAGATAGAGTGCTACTCTAGTCACAAGCCCAAGTTGATCTGACAGTCATAACTTTAAAAAAATAAAAAAATATCATTTGCAGTTTCTTTTCAAAGCCTTGAGATCAATTATAGTCCTTGACCTATCACAAAGGAAGTGGCCTAGAGCATTTTGCATGGAATTTTAGAGCTAAAAATTACAATGAGTTTTACACAATGACCCAAAAGATAGTGAAGTTATTCTTTCTCCCCCTTCTCTCTCTATATATATGTATCTTTAGCAGCCACTACCACCTTCTCTCACCCTCATCTGCTCTCCCTCTTCTTTCCACCCATTGCAGTGCAGCACTTACAATTATTTTTAATATGAAACAGTTTTAACAATTTACCTTTCTTGCACAAAACAATAAAGGTGGGCTGGCGAGATGGCTCAGTGGTCTAAAGCACCTACTTGGAACAAGCTTGGCAAAGCACAGGGACCACGGTTCGATCTCCCAGCACCACATGCCAGCCAGCCTCGCCCCCTGGTGGGCTGAGCTGGCCACACACACACACACACACACACACACTAAATAAATAAATAAATGTTTAAAAAAAAAAATAAAGGCATTTCGGGCTGTCAATTCATTTTCCTTATTTTTAAAAGTGTTCTGGGGTTTTTTTATTAATTTTATTGAGAAACAAATAGCAATGAGACAGTTTCAAAATCGATTAATAAGACAGTTTCAATAATTAATATGTTGCATATTGTTGTCTTTGTAGTAGTTATTCATAGTACAAGATGCAGACATGAAAGTGTTCTGGTTTTTTGAGACAAGGTCTGGCTCTGTAGGTCTGGTCTTGAACTCACTAGGTAGCCTAGACTGACCCCAAACTCCTATGTATCCTCCTACCCCAGCTTCCCGTGTACTGGGATTACAGGCATGTACCACCATGCTTAGCTCATTTCCTTTAAAAAATCAAGATGCACAACTGACCTAATTTCTATCATGAAAGCCACAACTCCTGGATCACATACAACAAGCATCAAAAAGGAATACAGTGCAATTAGGATTGAGAAATTGAGGATTAAATCATTTGTGCCTGGGCATGGAGGTAGATGCCTGCAATTCCAGCACTCAGGAGGCTGAGGCAAGAGAATGACTGAGAGTTCAAGGCAAGCCTGGATTATATAGTGAGACTATGTCTCGAAAAAGAAAAGACGAGGCACCAGGGAGATAGCTCAGTAGAATAAGCGCTGCCCTGGCAAGCGCAAGGGCCTAAGTTCAATCCCCAGTTCCGCCAAAAAAAGAAAAGAAGAAAGGAAAGCAAAGGAAAAAGAGAAAAGAAGAGGAAAGGAGAGAGGGGCAAAGAGGAGGGAAAGAGAGAGGAGGCAGGGGGCTGGGAAGTGGAGACAGCTGGGCCTTGTAAGCACCTGCCTGGCAAGCGCAAGGTCCCAAGTTTGACCGCTGGCACCAAACAAAGTTCTACCAATTCTTTACAAAATTATAGACCTCATTTCTCAGAAAACAGTGGAAGGAGACAAAAATGTATCTAGAAACCTGTTCAATTCTTTTTAGCTGTTTGCCAGCACAAACTTCGAAGACCAAAATGTATTTTTTTAAAAAATAAAGATTTCCAGGCCCCACCTGCCATAAATTCTTTGTGAATTTGGAATGGAGCCTGGGAATTGGAATGTTTACTTTAAAAGTTCCCCAGGGATTCTGGTCGTCAGCCAAGTTTAGTTAAAACAGCAGTATACTTCATTTCTTTTTTTTTTTTTTTTTTTTTTCCTTAAACTATGTAGTTCAGGTTGGCCCTAAACATACTATGCATACTGACCTCGAACTCTGCGGCAACCCTCCTGCCTCAGCCTCCTGAGTGCTGGGATTACAGGCCTGCACCACCAGGCCCAGCTGTAATATTATTTTTTTAGGTCTCCTTTCAGCCATTACTGGCACTGACGTCCTAGAAAAGGACCAAGTGCTTCCCATAAATACGCCGTGTCAATTTGCCTAAGCCCTTTGTGTTCTCCCATCTCTGGTGTTCCAGCCACAGCTCGTTCCAGTCCGCAGGACAGAACTTCTTCCCTCCACGCCGGCAGGGCCGGGAGTAACAATGAGCAGAAAGGTAACACAAAAGGAAACTATCATCACTCCAATGTCCGGAAATCCCGTCAGCTCCCCGACGCGAATGAGAACTGCTCAGGCCCTCACGATTCCTGACTCAATTTTGCACCGAACAAGACCCACCCCCGGGGGTCTGAAGGCGGCCGCGCGTCAGCACAGCAGCGCTCCGAGCCGGGGACTGGCCAGGTTCTGAAAACGGATGGAAAAACTTGACAGCAGGGCAATTTCAGGCGCACCAGCGCCGGCGGGCTCAGCTCCGCACCCAGCCCGCGCCGGGTTGCTAGGAAACACAAAGGCTCCGAGTCCCCGCGACGCGGCGGGGCAGGCAGAGGGCCGCGGGCCGCGGGGGGCCGGACCGGTCCTGGGGCGCCGGCCGAGGGCCGGGGGGCCGCCGGGCTGCGGAGGGCGGGAGCGGGCCCCGGAGACGGCGCTCGGCTCGGCTCCGGTCGGGTCGGGTCGGGTCAGGCCGGCTGCGGGGCCCCGGGCCGCGCGGGGAAGGGGTGTCCACTCACACGTGCTGACAGGCCGCGGTCCGCACCGGCGTCTTCAGCACCTCCTGACAGATGGGACAGTAGAAATCGTCTTCGGTGTAGGACGTGGCCGCGGAAAGCTCTTCCGCCATGGCGAGAGGTGGGGAACAAGGTGATGGCGGCGGCCGAGGTGGCGGTGGCAGCCGGGGCCCCGACTCTCTGCGCGAACCCAGAGGGGGAAGGGAATCTCCTCAGTAAGAGGCGCGCGCCAGGAAGGGGGCGGGAGGGGAAGGGGCTCTGGGGCGGGGCCGAACGCGGCCGCGCAATCCCGCAGGGCAGAGCGCGGAGGCGGGGCTCGGCAGGCGGCCAGCGATTGGCTCCTCTCTCCCTTCCACCTCGCCCGGCTCGGGCAGAGGCCCCGCCCCCTGAGGCTACGCCCCCTTCGGCCCCGGCGTGAGCCACTCCCCAACTGGCTCCGGGCGGGACTGCGGGCTGCCCCGGCCTCTCGGGCACGCCTCCGCTCCCCATTTCCCCGCCCCTCCGTAGCCGCGGACCCTCACTTCGGAAGGTCGGAGCCGCGCTTCGGAACTAGTTGCTCCTCCGTCGCGGGTTGGTAGGGAGATGGCCCTGAGCCTCTGTCGGGCTTCTTGGCTGCCCTGCTCTCCAAGGCTCCGGGGAGAGGGAGGGCGGCTTGCGCAGTACTCCTCGGCCGGAGCGGGGCCGCACCCGAGGCTCATGGAGCACCGAGTTGCCGCCGTCCCCGCCAGCAGCTCTCCCGTGGCATCTTGCTGTTCGCAGCCTGCCGGTCGGGTCACCGAACAGGCGAGGGCGGAGCGCGGGCTGGCGGGGGCGGAGGGCCAAGGAGCCCGGCGGCCTCCATGGCAACCGCCGCGGCGCCGCGGCGGCTTGTGATGTCACCGCCGGCGCCAGCCTCCCTGCCGGGGCCCTCTCGTAGCCTCCCGCGAGGGAGACCCTGTTTCCTCACGACCCTGTCAAGTGCCCTGGAGTTTTTCAGCAGTTTTTCCCCACAAGATATTCCTGTCAAAGATTAGATCTCCTCTGCTTGTCCTTTGCAGAGTGTTTTGTTCCTGCCAAGATGTGCTATGAAAGAAGTAATCTTAAAGGATTTTAATCCTTAACCAAAGAGATTAAAAATAAATGTTTCAGTTTATGCCTTAAAGTTTAAATATGCTGACTAGTCACATCTGCACATTCACCATGATTTTGGTTTTGAGTTGATTTTGTTTTCTTTACAAGGGACTGAAGTCGCCCCTCTAGCAATGAGCTGTGTCCCCAGCCCTTTTGTGCTTTGTGTAAGGGATTGGTTTATTCACCAAATGCTTTTGTTTTTATTCACACCTTGGAATCGAGCTGTGTAGTCAAGGCTGGTCTTGAACTCACTATTTACTCGAGTTCACAGCAGTCTTATTCTTGTCGAGATGTGCAGATGTGCGAAAGCCTTTAGAAAACTGGCATTACAGGAGTGTGCCACTATGCCGGCAAAAATGTAGTGGGTCCTCAGTTCCCAAATAGATCACGCAGCTGATAAGCCTGTAAGACTGTTACACAACCATGGCAGTAAAAAAAATCTGAAACAGTATCTTCAACTAGCTTCAGGAAACATTGTTTCATTGTAGTCCTTTGGTAAAGTGCTTAACTGTAATCTAAACGTGTTATAGATAGAAGCCATTTAGCTAACTACTTAAAGCGTTTCTCACATTTAACATCTGTGTTGTCCTTGGCATTGCTAAATGAAAGTGACGGAAGGCCATTGCTTTGGGCTTACTTCCGGCCCACTAGACTAGACCAAAATGGAGGCACTCTGGTTGAGGTGTGCATCAGGAGCTGAAACCACGTTGTTCATCTGGGTTTGAGAGAAATCAGGAAGTAGAATATCCAGATTCCCAAGCAAGTCAGTTATAAGGAAGTCTTGTATGGTTTAACCTTTATAAGGAAAATAACGTTGAAAGGACCAGTCCCCTTTTTATTCTATTTGTATTTTGCTTAGATCTTTTCTGTGTGTAAAACCAAACCCCTCTGCTGAGCTTATTAGAACACTCATTCCCTTGTATGGAGCCAGGTTTTGCCTAATGTAGTTTGTGTGTGTGTGTGTGTGTGTGTGTGTGTGTGTGTGTTACTAGAGATCCAACCCAGGGCCTCTTGCATCATAGACAGTCTGTCCCACTGAGCAACATTATGCAGCTGTCACAGCATATACAGCAATTGAAATTTTGTTGTCAACTAGTTTATACTCTTCAATAACTTATCAAAATGATAACAAAAACTGGTATTGCCTAATATTAAATATTGTTTTATCTGGGTATAGTGGCACACACCTGTAATCCTAGCCCTGGGGAAGCTGAGGCAAGAGGGTGATCACTAGTTCAAGACCAGCCTGGGCTACAAAGTGAGCTAAAGCCAACCTGAACTGGATAGTGAAACAAAAAAAAAAAAAATACATATATACACACACACACATATATATATATATATATATATATATATATATATATATAGTTAACAGTTACTATAATAATGGAAAAGGGAATAATTAGAATTCCATGGACTTAAAGTTTGCTTGGATAATTATTGGTCTGATGAATAAGTCATTTATTTCTTCTACCAAACTGCAAGAGATTATGTTTGTTTGTTTTGCCCCTTAGCAGCAAGCACAGTGGAAGCAGGATGGGAAAGCTAATTTTAGCTTCCTGGATTTGCTTGGAGAAAAAAACACATGGTGGGAAGGGCAGCTGATTGCAATAGTCCAGGTGCTTTTTAAATTTCCTTATAAAATGGTTCTCAGCTTTCAGATTTTGCTAGTTTGATATCAACTTTTACTTAACTCATTCTGACTACTTTAGGAAATAAAAAGGCTGTATAGTAGTGTTTCCCTTTTGACACTGGGGACCTGTAACCATCACATTAATCTTTGGCTTTAATATTTTATTAATTCTTTGAAAGACCAGCTTTACTAGTGCTTAATCCAAGTACTCTTGTATCTGATCCTATATTCTAAGAAATAATTTGGTGTACATGTAGGCAATGAATGAAAATAATTTTTGGCAAAATGTTAACTTTTGGGAGATCAGTTTTAAAAAAAAAAATTACCAAATCACACAATTTTGTGTTTTGGCACCATTTCATATGAAAAGGAGGCTGGGGATGTAGCTCAGCCATGCAGTGCCTGCCTGGCAAGCACAAAGCTCTGAGTTCAATTCCTGGTACCAAAAAAGAAAAGGCCAGGTGTGGTGACATACACCTATGAGCCCAGCTCTCAGGAGGCAGAGGCAGGAAAATGGCTGTGAGTTTGAGACCAGCCTGGGCTACAAAGTGAGCTCAAGGCCAGGCTTAACTGCTTAGCGAGACCCTGTCTCTAAAAGACAAAAACAAACAAATGAAAAACTCGACCTTCGTTCCCCCTTTCACACGAGAATCCCTTTTTCCCTTTCCCTTTTTCCCTTCATTGTTCTCTATCCCCACTACCATCCTGAGATCTTCAATAAATGTAGCTACTTAAAGAAGCATATGAAAAAAAAAAAAAAAAAAGGAGGGGGTGCTGGGAAGACGGCTCAGTGGAATAAGCACTTCTCTGGCAAGTGCAAGTGCCTGAGTTTAATCCCCAGTTCCGCCAAAAAAAAAAAAAAAAAGCATATGAAAAGCTATTGGGTCTTTTCATAAGACTGTCACAGAGATATCTGACCAACCCCAGGCCCTGCGAGTGTGGAGGGAGACCTTCTGCTCTGTCCTGGTACCACCCGCTGCTCCAAACCTAGGACCGCTGCCTGAGAGAGGCCTTTCCCCTCGTTCTCCAGACTTCCCCCACCTGGCCAGACACAGCACAGCCCATCCTGTGAATGAGAACTTCCGCCACGCTTTTGGGAGCCCTGCAAACCCACCAAAGCACAGCACCAGTGAGTGTGTGGGAGAGCTTCTGCGCTTTCTTGCCCCTGCTCCTCATACCCCTCTAGACCCAGCCCAGACCTGACCTACAGGCTGGGGGTAAAGCCCTGCAGTTAAAGTACCTGGAGTGAGACTAGGGTCAAAACCACACAGCTGATCCAGGAACAGATCATCTTACCAGAGGGGTACAGCAGGCCCACCTCCAAGGGCAACAACAATAAGGAGCTGAGCACAGTAGTCAGACCCAAGCCAGGCACAACTGCATGAACTAGAACTTGGTATATCAGTACCCGAATTTCATTAAATGATAAGGACATAATTGCACCAAAGGTCAGAGATCAGTACTATACGAAATGATAAAGACAAAGAGCAAAATGCAATCTCCGGCCTCAAGCCTTACCCATAACAAGTGCAGAGGACACTAGCTCAGCTGAAATAAATGAATAAATACTATTGGAAGTAAATAAACAACAGCAGAAAGATATAGAGGAACTCAGAGCAGAATTAATTTCTGAAACAAAAAAAAAAAAAAAGAAAAAGAAAACTCTGAATTCACAACATCTCAACTTAAGAATCAAATGCAGAAACATATGGAGGAAACACAATGCCCACCCAGAACAAACGCAGTGGACACTAGCTTAGCTGAAACATATGAATTAGTAGCGTTGGAAGTAAATAAGCAACTGCATAAAGATTTAAAGGAACTCAAAGCAGAATTAGCATCTGTAATGAAAAAAGAAATCTCTGAATTCATAGCACCTGAACTAAAGAATCAAATACAGAAACATAAGGAGGAAACCCAATCTGTAAAAAACTCTGCAGTAAAAGAATTAATAACTGCTTCTAAAGAAGATATTGATTAAAAAAAATACAGGAGATTAAAAAAAAAAGATGGATTCCTTGAATGAGCAATATAGGAAAGAAATAGATCGCATGAAACAGAGTCTAAGAGATATAGAGGAACTTAAAATCTCAATCACAAGCCTGCAAAATCATTTGAGTGAAAGTGAAGACAGAATTTCAGATCTTGAAGTTGCTGGTGCAGCTAGTGAAAAGATAAGAAAAGATCTTTTAAGGGGCCGGGAGATGGCTCAGTGGAATAAGCACTTCCATGGCAAGCGCAAGGGTCTGAGTTCAATCCCCGGTTCCACCAAAAAAAAAAAAAAAAAAAAAAGAAAGAAAAGATCTTCTAAAAACAATGAGGATGCAGGAAAAAATAATTCATCATCTGCAAGATGATGCAAAGATGAATAATGTGAGACTTATACGCATCAATGAGAATGAAGGAAATATAAATGATATCAAAAGAATATGGGCAGAAGTAATAGCAGAAAACTTCCCAAATATGAGGAAACAATCTGATATTCACATAACCAAAGCATACAGAACTCCAAATAACTTCAACCCAATTAAAATCACACCGAGACATATAATAGTAAAGATCCCAGAAATCCAACACAAGAATATCATACTGAAAGCTGCTAGAGAAAAGAAGCAGATCACATTCAAAGGAAAACCCATCAGAAATATAGCCGACTTCTCTTCACAAACCATGAAGGTAAGAAGAGTATGGAGCAGAGTACTTCAAGTACTCTATGAAAACAAATTCCAACCAAGACTATTACACCCTGGAAAACTCTCAAGTTTGTTTTTTTGTTTTGTTTTGTTTTGTTTTGTTTTGTTTTGTTTGTTTGTTTGTTTGTTTGTTTTTGCGGAACTGGGGATTGAACTCAGGTCTTTGTCCTTGCCAGGCAAGGGCTTATTCTACTGAGCCATCTCCCCAGCCTCTCTCTTTCAAGTTTGATGGAGAAGTGAAATACTTTCAGGACACAAATAAAGAATTTCATGATGACAAAACCAACCCTACACAGACTACTGAAAGATGTTCTAGAGGGGGACCAAAATGATCAGAACTCCACCAACAAGAACAGAAGGAACCCACTAAATAGGGCAAACAAACACAGGAGAAAAAAGACTTAAAAAAACAGCATTTAAATAACATGTCAATTGTAAGTCAACACATCTCAATTCTAACCAACAATGTAAATGGACTCAATTCAGCAATTAAGAGAAATAGATTGGCACAGTGGATTAGGAAACAAAACCCAACAATATGCTGTATACAAGAAACACATTTAACTCATAAAGAAACTCATAGGCTGAAAGTCAAAGGATGGAAAACAATACTACATGCCCCAGCACTTCAGAAAAAAGCAGGGGTAGCAATCTTGTTCTCAGACAGTCTCAGCTTCAAGAATGATCAAACAAAATAAAGAAGGCCACTATATACTAGTTAGGGGAAAAATTCAAGAGGAAGAAATAACAGTCATAAATATGTATGCACCAAACACAGGAGCACCCAATTGTCTAAGGTAAACCTTAATAGACATGAAAAAATCTAATATCCTATACAACAATCTTAACAAGAGACCTTAACACCCCCCTATCCCAAAAAGATAGATTAACCAGACAAAAAATTAGCAAAGAAGTAGCACAACTGAACCAGGGCTTAGAACAAATGGACTTGGTAGAAATGTACAGAGTGTTCCACCCAACCACAGTGGAATACACATTTTTTAAGCTGCACATGGATCATTTTCTAAAATAGACCACATACTAGTCCATAGGTCATGCTTAAGAATATGCAAGAAAATAGAAATTATCCCATTCATATTATCTGACCACAGTGCAATGAAACTGGAAATAAATGACAAAAGAAACCAGAAAAAAACCCTAAATACATGGAAATTAAACAACACCCTACTTAGCAATCAATGGGTTACAGATGAAATTATACAAGAAATTCAACAATATCTACAATTCAATGAAAAGTCATCCATAACTTATTGGAACTTATGGGATGCGATGCAAGCAGTTCTCAGAGAGAAACTCATAGCTGTGAACTCACACATTAGGAAAACAGAACAGGAACAAATAAACACCCTAATTCTGCACCTCCAACAA